ACTATTAAACATGGTCACTATCTGTATTGGCATTGGTTTGAGTTTTCTATGTTGAAAAACAAAAAAGTTACCGACGATTGAAATGGATCGTATTGCACTTTTAGTCAGATAGATCACAGCTTCTTTCACAGCAGTGGACGACATTTAACTTGTAAGTTATTATTCTCTGTTCCCCACTGTGTTGATATACTGTATATGCATGCTTCAGCTGCAGTGCTGAGGCCTTGATGCAGTTTAAAAAGCTGTACATCATCAATGTAAAACACAGAGTCTGCCTTTTCTCTTCTCACCAGTGTCTTGCACTGACAGCTGGGAACATTGTGCACCTGTGGACTGCTTGATCTGGGATGTTGATAAGCAGTTGTCCGTAAAGATAGGTAGGTACAGCAGTCTCCGATTTCCGTTTCTTGGCAAACCTGATTACCATTTTTTCCAGACTGGACTAGCCAGTCAGAAGCAGAGTAGGGCAGGTCCTGATAAGCAATGTAAGGTAATCCAAAACAATGCCGTTTCAGCCAGTAACTGTGACCAGTAAATGCAACCTATAACCCTAATTAAAAATGTGTTGTTCCCATTAACATCTTTCACCCTTACCCACGATGGTAAGCATGGAAAAGGAGTGTTGAATCAAGTTGCTTATGTTGATTTCAGCTCTTAGTTTTTTAATGGGAATGTTGATCTTGCAGATCAATTTGAGAAGTACCTCTGACAGTGGTCGGTAATAGGTGGCCCGCGGGCCAGAACCGGCCCGCCAGCAATAATATCTGGCCCACGGCCAGATTGCTTTGATAGCAGATAAATAAAAAGTAAATAAATTAATGACGGCACACACTACAGCACATGCTTAATTGTGAGCATGTGCAAAAGTGTCCTTTTATTTGTTTAACAAGGGAGAAAAAAATATCTGCAATAAGATGGACTCGATTTCACAACCTACCCATTGGAAGGGCGTGCTGTGTTGGAGCACAATCAACTGAGCTAAACATCATGACCCACATAGGGCCCCCCCAAACAGCCAGGTCCCTGGGTGGGCAACCCCCATGCACCCATGCCACCTCTGCTTATGTCCATACGTAATGTTTTAACTGTGCACTGGAGAGTGGGGATGAGGGGAAGCAGCATGCGAATGTCTTGTCACTGTGTGTGCTGCAGCTCAGTGTGTGTAAATGACACCTGTTATCTTTAGGAGTTAGGTTACAGAATATGGAAGTGTAGCGGGGAAGGATATTCAGGGTCACAGGTAACTTCCGGTCGTAATTTCCGTAGTGGGGAAGGCTATTTAGGAGCACAGGCAACTTGCGAAACAGAAACGGGCGTATTTGCTTGTAAGTGAGCATATAAATTAAATACATTTTCATTAGAATGACGATAATACAAACTGAGTGACATTTATGGTCTCTTGTTGCTTTTAGTGTTACAGTGTTATAGGCCTGGGTGCAACAGACGTAATAAAAGGTACAATGATTTGTAGTATAATATGGTAAAATGAGAAAGAATGCGGTCTCATAATTTTGTTTTTATTTCTTATAAAAGACTGTCAGTGTGATTACCTGTCACTGTTTTTCTTTCTGGATTTATTTATTAATTTTTTTGTTATTTTGTTTATGGTTGGCCCTCTTGGTAATTGTAAGGTGGGATGAGAGAAAAAACAGTGAAAGGTTTTCAGCAACGAGGGAATCTCAGATCGACCCGACCATCAGCACCAGAGTCCACGGGGAAGAATGGAGGATCTACAGGCCCTCATGGAGCAGCTGCAGCAGCTTAAGGCGGACAACAAATTGTTGAGAGAGCAGCTACTGGGACAATCACAGGTACCCAAACCCATGCCGGGGCCCTCCACGAATCCAAACATGGCTTCAGTTGTTACCCCAGCAAGTGAAACCATGAACGTTCTTTACATTTATGTGCCCAGGGAGTGTAAATGTTCAAAGTTCACTGGAAATGTTAATTGATTTGCTAACTGTTGAGAAATGGGTAGAAGAGGTGCGTCGATGCATGGATATTAGGCATATGTCAATAGCTGAGCAGGTTCTTTTCATTACTGACCATTTGGAAGGGGGTGCAAATCTTTGCTATTTTAACTGAAAAGTAAAGTTTCACCTAGTCCTACGTAGTGGTACAGTTGCAATTCTACCAACGCACCCAGCGAGAGGGAGAATCTTTACGTGATTATTCATACACACTCAAGTCTTTGATGGAGACGGCTGTACGTAAAACCCCTGGTGGTATCGCAAATTCTGATGTTCTCAGAGAGACAACTATCCCTTTCGTTGACCTTCAAGGTGTCGCCCTTAGGTGAGGGGATGCCGGCAGCCAGAGTAAATCTAAACCTCTGGCTTATTCCTGTGACACCGTATCTCAGGCAGTGGATTGTTTCGAAGCTAGTGCAAGTGCTGTCATGGCTAGGTCTAGTGATGAGATTACGGAGATAAAAGAGTGCTTACATAAACAGCAAGCCCAATTAGACACTCTAATGAAACATGTCACTTCCCAGCTCCTACCACCTACCCAGACTATGATGGCTTCTCATGCTAAACACTTCCATTTCCAAGTAGATGGTAAGTCACTATGCCACCACTGTAATAGGGTTGGTCACATTGCCTGTTTCTGTAGGGTAAACCTTAGTGCTTTTTAGAACCACACAGAATCAGGCTCTGAGGTTAGAGTGCATAGCCAGATAGTGTAGGGGGATGAAGAAGAAGAGGGGCTCACTTGAAGGTCAAGTGCCAGACCCCGCTCAACTCATTGGAGACTGGCCTGTTGTGGACATCAATATGGGGGGTATTCTGATACCCTGCCTGGTAGATACCACAATTAGAGAAAGCTTCTTTGAACAACACTTTAAGTCGAAAGGCAGCCTGTTGATAGAATGCCATTGGTTACGGCTAAAAGCTGCTAACGGGCTAACAATCCCCTATAAAGGGTATATGGAGCTGGATATCACTGTGTTGGGTTAGACATTAACACGTATGGGAGTGTCCCCAGGGTGAGTCTACACAGCAAGAGTAGTCCGTGCCTGGTCTCTTAGGGATGAATGTAATGGACAACCCTGGATGAATCCAGCCTGTTTGACTCATCCACTCTTCAAACTGCCAGTAAGGTGTGGAAGGAAGCTCTCTCCAGGTGTCAACGCATTGAAGCCCTTAATTCATCCGGATACTTGGGCGGAGCCAAAGTCAATGGTCAAGCTGTGCGCGTTCCTGCTGGTTCTTTGAAGTGGATTAATTTCCTTCAGTGGCTAATATCACCCTCCCTTCAGTACTCCTTGAACCCTGTGTTTCAGGAAATCCCTTGCTGCCAGGCATTTTGCTATCTTCAGCCCTCCTTGCCGTTCACCAGGACAACATTGTTTCCTGTAGATAACGTGAGTACAGAAGATGTTTGGCTACAACCTCACACATTGCTGGGTGAGCTACATGTGGTTGACCCACTTCAGTCGGGAAGCTCGGTCCTAATGGAATAGACCGATGATCAGGATGTCATTGCTGTGATCCAGACAGTGACTGCATTGGCCTCCCCGCCCCTTGATCTCTCCAGCCTGTCATGGGCTAACCTCTCCCCTGAGCAGAACAGACAAGGTGTAGAGCTTTTGCAAAAATACAGCTCAGTGTTCTGTCAAGGAGAGGGAGACCTGGGTTGTAGTACATTGGTGGAACATGAAATCCCATTGCTGGATGATGCACCAGTGCGCTGGCGCTATTGAAGGCTCCCGCCATCGCAGTACGAACAAGTTAAAGCACACATTCAGGAACTACTGGATCGAGGAGTTGTAGTCCGTATTCCTCTCCAATTGTGGTAATCTACAAGAAAACAGGAGAAATCAGGGTGTGTAGATTACCAGTTGCTTAATGCTAAAACAAGGAAGGATGCTTACCCCTTACCACGCATTGAGGAGTTCTTGGATGCTCTCTATGGTGCCTGGTTGTTTTCAACTTTGGACTTGGCAAGTGGCTACATTCAAGTGCCTGTGGCAGAGAAGGATAAAGCAAAAACAGCTTTCTGTACACCATTTAGACTTTTTGAGTTCAACCGGATGCCATTCGGGCTTTGTAACGCTCCCAGTACCTTTCAATGTTTGAAGGAGAGAATCATTGGGGACCAAAGCTTCCAATCTTTATTGCTGTACTTGGATGATATTGTCATCTCTTCATCATCCTTTGACCAGCACCTCCAACGTCTCAGTCTGGTACTCACGTGTCTTAAAGAGCCCAACGTGAAACTAAAACTTGAGAAATGTCACTTCTTCCAGCCTGAAGTCTGCTACCTGGATCACGTAATATCAGCATCTGGTGTGGAAACAGATCCCTCTAAGATAAGTGCCGTGGCTGAATGGCCACGACCTACATCTTGAGATACTGAGATACAGTTGTTCCTGGGGTTTGCCTCCGATAATCGCCACTTTGTAAAGGGATTTGCCAAGTATGTTTCCCCACTTCACCGCCAGGTGGCTGAAATAGAGGGCACCAAGAAGAAACGCAAGACTACGGGGAAGAGTATCATATGCACGTGGATGTGTTCAGGGCGCGACTCTTTGAAAATTTGGTACAGATGTGAGCATATACACTGAAGTTATAACAACTTTCTGTTTCATGGCGAAGCATTGATATTTGATGACACGACATGGGCAAACTGGTCGACTGATAATAACTGTTTTGTACGACTTTTAATCGTCAGTAGGTTTAGACTGCACAGCAAAAATTTTAAGTCGATCTGAGTAATTCCTTAGGAGGAGTTCATTAAAGTACAAAGTTTGTAAATTGCAAAAAATTACCATTAAATTAAATCCAAAAAGGCCTGGACTTCGTGTTGGGTGCGGGGCAAGAGGCTTTTTTGTACATTTGGACATGATACACGTACCATAGAAATTTGACATTACATTTTAGATATTGACATCATGTATAACCAATAAAAAGCACTATAGCTACACTGGTCCCAAGAAATAATGGCCATGCATCATACAGATGTCTTTTGAAGATTTATTTTATAGCAACTCTCTCCTTCGTCAGCAGACACCGTGAAAACTACAAGAAAATAAAAGACAGCTTAAAACATTCATCTCACATTCACTTTAAGGCCTTTCAAGCTAGTGTCCATTGATAAACAGGCCCAAACACATTAACACAAGCGAAATACAATGAAATCATACAATATAACCAAACAAAAATATTGTCCACGTAAAGCACACCAACAAGTACCATACACCAAGGTAAACAAATGAAAGGCAATTACTGTGTGCGCCTCTAGAACCAAGTACAGAATATGGTTATTTTGGGGCTTTATTTCGTTCCTCTGCATGCTCTGCCTCCACATTGTCTCTTACCCATAATGCCATGGTTATGCCCTTATCTTAACTCTGTCTATGTGACCCATTTCCCATTACTCTCTGTTGTTCGTTTAAATAAACCTTACATAAAAGCACAACATTTTTAACAGTATTTAAATTAAAGACATTTTTGTGAATGTTACCCCTTTTAACATCTTCACATGTTTTTCCTATTTTTAAACGGCTGTATGAACTCAAATATTCATGAACTTACACATACAAATATACAAAATAGACATTTCAATTAAACATGTCTTTGAGACAGTTACAAGCACTTTGATATTTTTTATTATCTAAACGTAACATCAAATTGTCATCAAATAACCCAGCACTGAATTGAGTGGACTGTGGGAAAAGTTGAAATGAGTGAGAGAAGATTGTAGTAAACACAGATGAAACAGAGAAGAATAGGAGAGGGAGGCATCTTCACTGAGACGTACAATATATTCAAAAGTAGCCAGGTTGATAATCAGGGTGAAGAAGTTGTAGAAGATCGAAGATGATGAGCAAGCTAACCAGGGACCGGAGGAGGCAGCGCACCGTAACATCAAGCCCAAGCTAGCAGTGCAGCCATACGGTCTGTGAGCACAGCTAACCTGAGGCTAGCTGTAGCAGCAGCAGTGCACGGCTCTCTCACTAATGATCTGCTGTGTTGTTACGTCCAAAATGGGGAAAAGTTCACAATGTGGATCACCCATTCACCATCCACAGGTAATATGTTTTGCATTACCTGTAGGCCTACGCTTTATTCAACTAAGTAAATATATTTGTTGGTGTTTTTTTCTGACTGGAACCACGGCGACCAGGTGCGTGAGGAATGCACAGAGCACTGTTATTACATATTTGCATAGCTTCTGCATAGCTCATTTTTCACTGGGAGTGGGACTGAAACTAAACTAGTGCAACAGCTGGAGGGAGAGAAACAGGAGGAGATGAAGCGGGTTGTGGCTGTATGTTTTAAGTGAAAGAGGGCTGCCTTTACATGGTGACGGTGAAGTAGCATATTTACTGGATGTGTTTTTGTGTGTGAATAATTGAAGAATCTGATTCATAGAACTGGATTAGAGGTGAGGCTTGAGGTGGGGAATGTATTGATATTGTGGTCCAGGAAAGCATTGTTGCAGTCATGTGGTTAAATCATGCAAACAACTGCACATCAATAAATATTTTCTGCTAGAAAGTGCAGCGAGAGAATAAGCATGTGTATTTAAAACAGTCTTAAAACTAACTAAACGGACTTCTTTTTGCAACCAGAAGAGTCGCCCCCTGCTGGCTGTTCAATAGAATGCAGGTTTTAGGGGGTCCTGCGTTCGTATCAGATCACTGACTGGAAACTTCCCGCTTGACTGTAACATTAGCCATGACCCAGGAGAAACCCTAGAGAGGGCAATGAGAAATCAGAATCAGAAATCAGAATCAGAAATACTTTATTGATCCCCGAGGGGAAATTATTCAACAGGGGTCTCTCAAGAAAATCAGGTGGGTTGGTATGGTCGTGAATGTTGTCAGGCTTATTTGTGACAAGAGGAGAAGTGATGAGGGTCATTTTTTATTATTTAAGTCATGTTTTGCATGTGACAAATGACCAACTCATCGTGAACTCCCGTCGTTGGTTCTGAATGCTCTGCTCCACTCTGGTCAGCTGATTCCTTTTTGTGGTGGATCGGTGGCGCTATTATCAACAGGGGAGTTGCACAGCGCTTTCTAGTTAAACTATGTAACACTCCTGACTTGACTGACAAATCTGTCTCTCCGTTTCTTTTAATAGTCATTAAATGGCTGTTATAAACGCAGATACTAATTTAAATGCAATAAGATCATGACAGCCGATAATATCAGTCCTTTATAAACTAGATGTGTTTCCAACAAATAACACCCTATAATTCAAAACTTCGATTGCGTGCATACGTGTGGGCGGATGAGGGCCCTACAAAACTTTGTGCCCAGGGGCCTCAGACTTCTTAATCTGGCTCTGGCCATGCCCATGCGTGAAACCCATAATATACGGAATTGTTTGCCGCATCCGAATTATGTGCAAAGTTTGGTGAGTTCACACGGTTCGTGGTCGGGCTCTAATAATACATTTTATTTATAGGCGCCTCACAAAACATAATAAAACTGTACAGCAATAACTCAATAAAATTAACAACTATAGTTACAGTGCATAAAATCAGGGTACAACTGGAAACAAAGATTGCTGTGACCTGATAAATAGTGATCATGTGGGATATGCCAGTTTAAAAATATGTGTTTTCAGGTGGGATTTAGGCAAGAGGGAGGTGGGTGGGAGAGATGTGTTAGGTTTGGTGGACAGGTAGAGCTGTGTGTCATCCGCAAAAAATTTACGGAAGATATGACCAAGAGGAAGCAGATAGATGATGAGCAGAAGGGGCCCCAGGACAGAGCCCTGGGGAACACCAGTAGTGACAGGGGATAGCTCTGATGCAGGTCGGTGAGTGAACAACAGGGACATAGCTCTTCAGGGTTGGACTGGGAACACAATCCAGCTCCAACCATCCAAGAGTTACTGTTAATGTTATAACTGCAGCTAGCAGAGTTTAGATTGACACTGGATCGGTCACTGTTCATTTAGAAGATTTTACAGCATCAGACCAGAGATTATGCTTCTTTTTCTTTCTGACCTTTTCACTTTTTGTCATTTAACCAGTTTATTTGATTTGAACTCTGCTCGTTCTCTAAACGCTGACTCTACATGGATGGATGGATCCACTTTTAAGGGTGAGGGGAGGTGCTGATGGTCTGTACCACTTCACGAAATTGACAATCAGCTGGTTGTTCCAGCATCAGGTCATATTGTTTGTCCCACAGAGCTGCTGGTCAGTCAGCCCATCTGGCATTAACCTGCCTCCAGGTGAATTCAGACGTGTGTCAACAGCTCAGGTTTATTTTACAGTAGGAATGTGTTTCTTCTGTCCCGCAGCACATTCAGTCCACCAATCAGCAGCCAGAGAAAAACGTTCGCATTGGTACATTTCTATGAGCAATATGTTTGTCTGAATTGTTGTCTTTGCATACTCTACATATTCCAAAGATCTTCTTTCTAAAAACAACAACACTAACACCAACAAGAAGAATCACACCAACTAACAGACCAACTTTCAGTCCAACATTTCCCTCCTTGTCTCCTCCCTCCTTGTGTCCAGCTGTGTGACCTGCAGAGCAGAAACAGGTGTGAGGTATCAGCTGTCAGCAGATGAACAGAATCTCAGACATTATTTACTGCACTTTGATCACATGACTCGTAGCAGCTGTTTCTTCTAAAGTCTCATCAGCAACATCTTTCTAAAACACAAACATCATATCTGTGATCTTTCTCAGCTCAACTACCAGGAAGCAGCTTCATCTGAGAGACAAAGAGACACTCTGAGCTCTACACGCTCACCTGAGAGACAAAGAGACACTCTGAGCTCTACACACTCACCTGGTTCTGTCACTGTCAGACCGATGGAGCTGACGACTTCAACTTTGCCTGAACTGTCTTTCTCTCTAACCCGACACTCATATGTTCCAGTGTCATTGGTTTTGACGTTCTTCAGAATCACAGAAGTGTCTCCATCCTTCATCTCTGGATCTCTCAGCTCCACTCGACCACGATAAGATGGATGCTGGATGTTTTCATTTTTTTCATCAAGGCTGAAGAAGAAGACATAACCATCATCTGACTTCAGGTCAGGTTTACTCCACTTTATCAGTGTGATTGCAGCCTCTCTGTGACCCTGACACTGAAGAGTGGCGTCCTCTCCAGCCTTCACCTCCTGTGTCTCTGAACAGAAACAGAAAACCCTGCAGTCAGGACTTGTAATGTTTCAAACATCTTTTGATGGAAGTGTCAGGTCTCAGCACAGGTGAACTCAGCAGCATTTCAAACTCAGTTCTCAGACAACTTGAGTCCCAGCTGCAGAAACCAGTCAGCAGAGGACATCGGGGGCACCGGGAAAGTTCCTGGTGGGCTGGCCAACGTCTGGGCTGTCAGCTAGCAGCCAGCCTTATACCTTCTGTTATTAATAATGAAAAAGTTAACTGAAGGTTCAGTGACACAGGAAGCTACTGTTTTATGAATGTACCAGAAAGAAAGAATTGAGATAAAAACGTCAATAACTGGGTGCTCAAACCAACCAGTGTAAAAACTCAAATCTGAGTTTAGGAAAGCTCTGAATGTTTCCAATTCACTGTCCTGTCTGGATTTTGAGGGAAATGGCAACAGTTTGTCACAAAGCGGCTCAGGTAATGTGATAAAGAAGGAATCCATGCAAGGTACTTAGTTGTGTTTAGTTAGATTAAAATAAACACAAGTACAAAAGAAGATGCCAGGCATGGATGTAACCTGCTAGATGTGAGACAGTGAACTGAATACATGAGCCAGCTTTTATAACGGCCCCATAATGGCCCCAGGTGAGCACAATCAGCTGACAACCCTCCCAATTCAGCCAATTGTCTGCTGAGGTTGGCAAGACAACCTCCATGACAACCACTTCAGTTTTGCCTTGTGATTCTAAAAGTTAAATTGTATTAGACACTTACAAATGTCTATACAGGTGTTGGTTGCAAATACATATTGTAAAAGTGATCAAGTCCTTTCCCTCTCAAATTCATATTTTGTGCAGGAGAATATAGCTTCATTGATTTGCTTGCTAGGATGCTCATTGACATTCAACCAGTTTTCTAGAATATGTACTCTCATGACTTTAAGCCAACCAGCTGACCCTCAGACAGTTTTGTGTCTTCATGTGGTGTGAGGTAGTTCAGGACAAATTCAGTGTGTGTTCTGAAGTTTTTTAACAATGTGCAGTGTTTGTGTGTTTTTCAGTAGTGATGCTGATTCTTGACAGAAAGAAAACAGAAATGTAGAATTTTTTGCAAATTTATTAAAAAGAAAAACTGAAATATCACATGGTCATAAGTATTCAGACCCTTTGCTCAGTATTTAGTAGAAGCACCCTTTTGATCTAATACAGCCATGAGTCGTTTTGGGAAAGATGCAACAAGTTTTTCACATCTGGATTTGGGTATCCTCTGCCATTCCTCCTTGCAGATCCTCTCCAGTTCTGTCAGGTTGGATGGTAAACGTTGGTGGACAGCCATTTTCAGGTCTCTCCAGAGATGCTCAATTGGGTTTAAGTCAGGGCTCTGGCTGGGCCATTCAAGAACAGCCACGGAGTTGTTGTGAAGCCACTCCTTCGTTATTTTAGCGGTGTGCTTAGGGTCATTGTCTTGTTGGAAGGTAAACCTTCGGCCCAGTCTGAGGTCCAGAGCACTCTGGAAAAGGTTTTCGTCCAGGATATCCCTGTACTTGGCCGCATTCATCTTTCCCTCGATTGCAACCAGTCGTCCTGTCCCTGCAGCTGAAAAACACCCCACAGCATGATGCTGCCACCACCATGCTTCACTGTTGAGACTGTATTGGACAGGTGATGAGCAGTGCCTGGTTTTCTCCACACATACCGCTTAGAATTAAGGCCAAAAAGTTCTATCTTGGTCTCATCAGACCAGAGGATCTTATTTATCACCATCTTGGAGTCCTTCAGGTGTTTTTTAGCAAACTCCATGTGGGCTTTCATGTGTCTTGCCAGATCTGTGCCTTGCCACAATTCTGTCTCTGAGCTCTTCAGGCAGTTCCTTTGACCTCACGATTCTCATTTGCTCTGACATGCACTGTGAGCTGTAAGGTCTTATATAGACAGGTGTGTGGCTTTCCTAATCAAGTCCAATCAGTATAATCAAACACAGCTGGACTCAAATGAAGGTGTAGAACCATCTCAAGGATGATCAGAAGAAATAGACAGCACCTGAGTTAAATATGAGTGTCACGGCAAAGGGTCTGAATACTTATGACCATGTGATATTTCAGTTTTTCTTTTTAATAAATTTGCAAAAATTTCTACATTTCTGTTTTTTTCTGTCAAGATGGGGTGCTGAGTGTACATTATTGAGAAATAAAATGAACTTTTTTGATTTTTGGAAAATGGCTGCAATGAAACAGAGTGAAAAATTTAAAGGGGTCTGAATACTTTCCGTACCCACTGTACATCAGCTTTTCTGACACTGAACAGCTGAAATATTAAAGATTTTATTATTTCCTAAAAGCTTTGAATCTCTGACCTAGTTCTCAAATGTGTCCCCAGTCTGCCCGTCCTCTACTCAAACTGTGTCTGAAACACACACACACACCTCTTACCTTGACACAGAACAACGATCCATGAACATGCGAACAAAGCCACAAATGGCGGCCATGTTAAAGTGACCATGACAGCAGAGCTGATGACGCTGACACCAGACTGAGTTCTTCTTTCTGCTCTGTAGTGTCTGCTGACAGCGGACCACCTATGTTACTCAACAGTGAGAATCTCTCCATAGCCGAATGTCAGGTTGAGTCACATATTTGGCAGCAGAGATGAAAAGGTGAAACCAGACTGACGTCTTCTTTGTGTTGTGTAGCTGTTTTTGTTTCTGAAAGTCGACCCGCCCAAACGAGGGAGGGGGAAGGTGACATGTTTTCAAAGAAACTGTTTGCTGCATGATGTGCATATAGGCCCTTTTAGCAGTTGTGATCACAGGGACCTCACAGAGCTGAGGATGTTTATTTGTGATCTTGCTGAACTTTTGTCACCTCAAATGCCTCACTGATAAAAACAGCAGCACAAGCTCTGTTCGCTCTTTCCACCCTCGCTCCACTCGACTCACTTCCCTTCGGCTCCGCTGCCCACCTGGACGGACCCGAGGGCCGCAATGGCCTCCCAGCCTGGCCTGCTCAGACCGAAAACTGAACCCAGTTCAGTTAACTCTGAGGAGAACAGAGAGAGCAGCCGGACCCTCTCACCTGTATCACGACACAGAAAAGGCTGTGTAAACCACATTAGCTTTCTGCAGGTGGCTCTGTCTGTTTCTGTGTGTAAGTGTGTCTGTTCAGACATGCTGTTACTCAGTTACATGTTACATGTTGTTGTTGTTAAGAATTTGATTCCATACTGGGTCTGTAAATATAGATTTAAAATGAAAATGTGTAGAATTCTACGGTACTACGGAGTATTTTTTGATTTATAAAAAAAATAAAAAACAACTCTGTAAAAACATTTGAGTTTAATATGTCAATAAAATAAAACAATCATTTTGACTTAATCCAGGGTTCAGATTTTAGTTCTTGAAGTTGATGCAAATTAGCGCATATTTTATTAGATACTGCCTCATTTGCATATTTAAACATAACATTACAGAAAACCTGTACTACACAAAATATTTCTTTAAGAAAGTAATCAACTAGGAAAGTTTCATGGTGATATCTTTTAGTATTTTTTTTTTTTTTTTTTACCATATCTGCAGTCTCTCACCTTTAATTATTAAATAACTAATTATTACGTTACGTCCCAGCTCACTAGGGGTAGAGGAGACATAAGCATAAACCAGATGTATTTAGTGTAGCACCATTAAAAACCTAGTGAACCTAGTAGACATATATAGTGAACAACTAGCTAAGAAAGTGTAATTTGTATCAGTAGTAAGCTGATCTATAGCCCAAATCTACAGACCAAACATAAAATAGATCACTTAGATTCAAACAGGAAGATGCCTTATTGTGGCCAGTGTCACAAAACAAAACTACCATTACAGTTTTTCTCAATAGCTAAAACACTAAAACCCATGGGCTGAACAAAGTTCGCAATTGCCTGAACTCATTTAGCTAAATGTGCAGTCTGTTGTCAATACCTTAAACCTGCAACCAATATAAGCAAGTTCAGAGAGCGAACAGGTTGTTGAAGGTGGGACAGAGAAAGTTTAAGAATGGATGGAAGAAACAATGTCTGGCCCTGAAGATTGTGCTTTCCATTTGTTGACAGAACTGACTGCTCAATAGATTTCGACTGGTTGCAGTATCACAGAAACGAAGGACAAGTTTGTGAGATGCAGAGGACAGTACTGTAAAAATAGGAGTACAAAGAGGAGAAAGAACAAAATATATTCATTTCTGATCAATTTTGAGCTACTGTGATAGAAGATGTTTTCATTCATCAAAAGACAATGATGGAAAATATGAAATTTCTTTTGAGATTAAAAATGTACTTCTCCCTGAGAACTATATTTTTTGAACGTGTTTTCTTTTTTTGGGTGTCTGATAGTGTATATAATTTTGATCGTTTTGTTTATGATTTGAGAGTAGTGTTTGGTTTTGAGCACAGGTAAAACTGTTTTAAGGCTTAAGATTCATTTTGCATGAGGAGGTTTTGTAAATAGTGCTTGAACTGAGGTCTTGTGTTTAATGTTTTCAGAAAATGGAGTAAGGTATCAGAAATTGTGTTTTAGCAATAGAGAAAAACTTTAATGTGACAGCTACTATGTGGCAACTAAAGACACACACAGGACTCAACAAAGTGATCAGCACAGAGGCAAACTACATAGTGAGCAGGAGCTGCCTCGATACAGCAGCAGGTCAGCCTATTTGAACCAGAGGAGTTTGAAAGCAGTCTTGCAGGCAGCTCAGGGATTGGAGGAGGGTTGTTGTGCCGCTCCAATGAGGGATCTCCAACCTGAGAGGCGGGATCAGGCAGAACTTCCCTTGAATCTGTCCAATCCTCAGCCGTGAACCCCACAGCCTTATTACCATGTGGATCAAAACAGCAGCAACAGTGAAGTATGTTGATGCAATCTAAAGCCTAATATCCAACACAGTGATGAGGCATAGTAATGCCAACATAATGGTGCCGCAATTTGATAGCCTATTAGTTTTCAACAATACTGAGAGATTAACAACAAAAATATAGAAACTACAAGATTGTTTGATGACTAATGATATTAAGGGCTATAAGGCGGACAAAATTACATAAATGTTATAGTGTGATACAAATATCCAACAGGAATTAATGGACTGTGGGTGTTTAAGAATGTTGGAAATGATTTGAATATATAGTTTGCATATAAAGTACAAATTATAGTCTATAATTCCTCGATTCATAGCAAATACAATTTTATGCATTTATTTTAGAAAATGATCGAAAGGAAAATAGAGGAGATATTGTGGTAACAGGGTGTCAACGGAGGCTTAAAAAGTCTTAAAAAGGTAAAAAATTTAGGCCAATAAAAAGTATTAAAAAGTCTTAATCGCTATTAAACAAGGTATTAAATTTTGTAGATATTTTTGTCAATGTGAAAATCCTGATCGTCCAAAGAGTTTTTCTGCTAAAAGTGCAGGTGAATTTATTTTTATTGTATAGCCAAAAATACTAGAGAAGGGAGGTTGTGGTGATTCTTCTGTGTAATGTTAGGCGCATTGATCTAACGTGCGAGCATTTCATTCTTATATGCCCCTAAAAATAGATCTATGCGAACCGGAATCAGGAGCACCGGGATTTGAGAAGATAATCCACAAATGTGTAAAATGATGCACAATAAATCACTATTAAAAAATGTGTATTTTTACATGTGTATTGTGGTAATTCATATCTATAAAAATACAGAGTGATTTGTACATGTGAATCACTGTACAACATTTGTACTTGTGGATCACTTCCTGTAAATTTGTACATCACATTAGATTTGTAACTTCCTTTTTACACATGCGTGCAATATTGTCCAAGGTGTACTGCGGAGATCTGTAAAAGAAAAAAAAACACAAATATCTCACTACCCACAACATATCTTTTTACATTTGTGTTGTGTAAAATCATATCCACAAAAATACAGTGTGATTTGCAAATATGCACAATTTAATCTGTACAGACATATTTAAATTACACATACAAAGTGATATTTACGCATTTGTGGATCCATTTCTACACACAAAACTGTTTTTACACATTTGTGGAAAACTTCCTGTCAATTTGCAGGTCACGTTACATTTGTAACTTCCTTTTTACGCATTTGTGGAGTTTCGTCCACTCTGTCTCACCGAGATGTGCAAAAAGATATTTGTAAGTTTAAGAGCAGTTTATTAGCTACACCAGCAGGGGCGGTAGTGACATTGCCTCCCATGAGTTGACAGGATATTCACGCTAATCTATGGGGGACAACTAGCAAAAGGACTGTAGCTCGGTTTATAGTTTCAACTCGACCAGCTCATGATTCAGGATCTGGTTCATCCACCTGTAGTAAGTTAGCTGTGTAACGTTTGTCCACGTTATGTAACAAGCTCACATGAAATCATTTAGTTCACTTCAAGAGATTTTATGGTTTTCACAAAAATTGGTAATTCCCACTGCAACTGGAATTAGTTACCCATCACTTACTGTATATTGCCTGGCAGTAAACAGGACCTGTGTGAAGCTTCTCATGGCATCAGAACCCAAACCTGCAACTGAAAACACATTCAATAACAAACATCCTAAATTTAGAGAATTTTAAATCCTATGCCCCAGTTACTAAAACTTATGTGACTGAGTAGTTACAGTTTTTTCTGATTGCTTAAGCACATTTTTTGTAACTATTGGCTATTTTTGCAAAACTCTACACACAAATAAGAAAACCTTTCACCCAATTATCAAAACATTGTAGTTCTCTTGCAAAAGCGAACACAGCTAGATTAACTCTTCACACCTTCGTAAAAATGGTGTTTTCGTATCAAACAGTAAACACAAGCCATCATCTACTAAGCACACAATGTGCCAACTACACACTGATGGTATGAATACAAAACACATCTGGCTTTTGCTTTCTCTGTGTACAGATGTCAATTTAAGGTAATACTTTTGTCATAGTGTCATGTAAACATACAAGGATCCAAACTTCAAGTATTGGTGTTTATTCACACTCATCAAAACCAAGACAAAGTCAGAACACAAAGTAGTAATTTTACAAAAAAAAACAAAAAAACAATCAGCCTACATCATGTCGTCTTTCTGGGTCCGGCCACAAAATTTCGTCCACATCGCATGCGATATCCTCCAGTCCAAGGCACCGGGGAAAATATCTCCTTGAATGCCGTATCCAGGCCTGACATGATGCCTGGTCAATATCTCCACATGCCTCCTCCATTGCCTGTAAAAGGGCTACCTGTTGATGAGGATGACGGTCGTACACTTTCCAGCGCCAGGCAGAGAAGAACTCCTCGATGGGATTTAAGAATGGAGAGTATGGAGGGAGGCTGAGTGCCATGAAGAATGGGTGGTCTGTAAACCAGTTGCGGACCAAAGCAGCCCTATGGAAACTAACATTGTCCCATATGATGACATATCGGGTCTGCTCTGGTCTCTGAACAGTGAGCATGTCATGTAAGGTGTCCAGGAATGCAATAATGTGTGCAGTGTTGTATGGGCCTATGGTTGCATGATGGTGAACAACAGCATTTTGGCTTATAGCTGCACACATGGTTATGTTACCACCACGTTGTCCTGGGACATTGATGATGGCACGGTGTCCAATAATGTTCCTGCCACGTCTCCTGGTTTTACTGAGGTTAAAACCGGCC